GAGCAAGCGGAAACGCTCAGACCGCCCCCTGTCCTATGCCCAGGCCCTCATCCAGGCAGGCTGCGAGGAAACCATCGAGGCCACCGTGCGCAAACGGAGACTGTGTTTCGCGGGCTTTGTTATGCGCATGGAGGACAACCGCCTCCCCAAGCGCATGCTGCTAGAAGCGATGGCGGGGGGGGTGGGATACCGGGGCAGGCAGGAGAGCGACTGGGTGTCTCGTCTAGGAGAGGACCTCGTGGCCTTCAACATGGGAGACGAAACGGAAGGGTGGAAATGGAAAAAGAGCGCCAAGGACCCGGAGGTGTGGAACAACAAGGTCGAGGACAGGGCGGCATGGTTCATGAGGAAGTGGCACAGATAGGAGACGGAAGCGTCCGCGAAGCGCCAGCGCGCGAGGAAAGCAGAAGCAGGGAGTACGGCCATCTCAGGACCGAAGAGAAAGAGAGCCGGGGAAGCGGCGGTGGGGGGGAAGAAACGGCGACCGGGCACTGCTGTAGAAGCGAGTAGGGCGGTCGAGGCAGCACTTGTGGCGAACTATGTACCCCGCTGATGTTGTTGCGCCCTGTTTCCCTCCCTGCTGTATGCTATACTCCTTTATGGATGTCCTTTGCATTGCCTTCGGCCTCTGTGCTGTGCTTCGTTTTTTTTTTCATGTCCTCCCTGCCCACTCAGCCTTGTTGGGTACCTTGATCTCCCTTTTGCTGTTGCTTTTGCTTTTATGTATCTGGCTGGCTGTCCATCTGCCGCCTCTTTGTTCTGTTGGCTTCATTACTCCCAAGCCCTGGTGCGTAGTGCCTGGTGCTGGTACGTTACCTTTTGATTTTTTAGGCGGGGTGTGGGAAGCTTCCTCCTTTTCATCTTTATCTTCATTTTTTATTTGTTTTATTTTGATCGGTTTCCGAGGGCTCTCTTCTCGACCGGTCGGTGCGGTAGCTGTTGTGTTCTTTCTATCATTTTTGTTTCTTTTTCCGAGTGGTTTGTACCCTATTTTTGTTTCGTTTCCCCGCGGCGTTGTATGTGGCGGGTATTTGCGACCACGGGCTCCCCATTTTTGTGGACTTTAGAGCTAGTGTGAGAAACAACAACAACAACAACAACAACAAATCACGCACCTATTCAGGAAGCACGACGGGCGGCTGAATCGCGCGCGAGGTCGCTGGAAGACCGCCTGCTGAGCCTAGGGAAGGAGGAAGAAAAGTCTAGCTCGGCGGAGGCAAAGGCGGCAGTGGCGGCTGCGAGAACGGCGAGGAGCAAGGTGAAACCGTCAAAACCGAAAGTGAAACCGTCAAAATCGAAAGTGAAAACGACGAGCATTTTTTTGTTTTTTTGTTCTTCTCTCCTCGCGTGATGGACTGGTTGCAAGCAGAAGGGGAATGTCATTGTTGTCGCTCTCTCGCTATTACATGCAGAGGATTGTTGTCGTCGGCCCGCTCACTATCCTTGATCGGTGGGTAGTGCTGGCGTGCTGGTGCGTGTCTCGCCCTTCTCGCTCTGTGGAATCCGCCATACATGCAGGGGATGGGGGGCGTCCTTCGCACAAATAGGTATACGCTGATGCACGCAGTATATACGTGAACGGTGTTGTGCTAACGACAACCAGCACATAGACCGCCCCGCCTTCCACAAGGTATTGGGAAGCACTGTTCAACGGGGTTTCGTGCGATGTTCCGAACGCGTTGTGCAGCAGGGGAACGCAGGTGAAAGGCTAAAGGGCGATTTACACGGGACGACTACATAGAGGGCAAAACAATCGAGTGGCTTGCGTGGCTTCTCTCTCTCTCTCTCTCTCTCTCTCTCTCTCTCTCTCTCTCTCTCTCTCNTCTCTCTCTCTCTCTCTCTCTCTCTCTCTCTCTCTCTTTCTCTCTCTCCAGATCCTATCTCCTTTCAACTTGCCTCAAAACACATTCTGTCTCTGACCCCCCCCGCCCCCGTTATGTGTTGCCCTCCCCTCTCTCTACTACACCGCCGTTACACCACGCCCTTTTCCGGTCGACCTCGAATCAATCCATCCCGTTGTACCTCGTTCGATTCCCATGGGTTTGGTACGACTTCCGCGGGTACGGCTGCGGGTATACACCAGGCCGATCAGGCGGACGCCTTACGGGAAAAGGTAAGCTTGGCTTGTTGTACAAGAATCGCATCTCGCGGCACCGGCCGGCCAAATCACAAGAATCAAGACAGGCACCGTTGAGGGAGGGTCGGTCCGACGACGGTATCTCTCGTGTGGGGCGATATATGGAGACTTCCGCCGTGCCATTCCCTTATCTACATCAGCGTGTAGGGTTTTCGTATCACTGCCTACGGCTTTTTGTTTCCACTCGTGTCCAGTACACAAGAAGGGGGGGGGGNGGGGGGGGGGGGGGGGGGGGCGCGAATGAGAAAAAGGGCGGCGTTAGGAGAAGAAGGGAATTGTGACTTGGAAGGTTATTGTATCCAGCCTGCGTTGTCCGTGGTTGATTGGCAACCTGCCGTGTTGACGTCGTGACATCAGGTGTCCCGTATTGAGGCATCCGTCAGAGCCGAGAAGGCGGCCAGGCAGGAGGCGGAGCAAGGGTTGGAGCGAGCGCTGTTGGCGAAGGTCAAACTGGAGCGTTTCCTGGAGGGAGTTCTGAAGGTGGGAAGGGCTTTTGTCGTTGTATTGCCCCTGTTTGGCGCGAGCACTGCCAGGAATCCTCGAACCTCGGAACAGGTCATGCTCGTGTTGTTTCCGAAGGGAGTGTGTTTTTATAGTGTAATGTGGCGGTGGCGGTGCACGTAGAAGTTCGGGCGTTGATTTCGCCCTGCCCCCCCCCCAGGGAAAAACGAGGGCGCAGAAGTGTACGGAGTGTTGAAAGAAGGAATAGGGTTCAAATAGAACCTTCATGGACCAATGGATGCAGGGACAAAGCTGAAGATCAAACTCAGGACCGGGGACATTGGTCTTCGAGAACGTAGCCGAAGGCTTCGGAAGGTAGACGATGAAGACGCCAAGTTCAAATGTGATTGCGGCTCCGAGTGCGAAGACCGTGTTCATGAAGTCGCGGAATGTGGGCTGTACAAGGAGAGGGAAAGTGTACATGACTGAGCTGGGGAAATGCAAGGGAGGTGCAGGGAGATGTTTGAGGTATGGGATAGCCAGGAGACGACGTTAGCTGTATTGGGGCATAGGAAGTGGAATGAAAAGGTGGGAAGTGATATCCGTAGGATAGATAGACTAGGGAAGACATTTTTGAGCCACCTTTGGCAAAGTAGGAAGGAACGATTGGCCATCGGTGATCGGTTCTGTGGGAACAAATGCTCCGTCCTCTCGAGGACGCGTGGCCAATGGTCGAACCGCTAAGGCATGCAAAACGTAAGAGCACGCCCCCTTCCCCATCGCCCCCCCCCCCGCCCGTCCGGACGCCATCCAAGGTGAACGAGGAGCTTGTCAAGGCCTCCGGGGGCGGCGGCGACGCGGGCGTGCGCGTGTCCAAGCGCAAGAAGAATCAGCCCAAGAAACAGAAGCGACCGAAGGCTGGTGCTGGTGCTGCTACGGCTGGTGCTGGTACCACTTCTACAGCAGCAGCAGCGGCAGCATCAGCAGCAGCAGCAGCAGCAGGGGTTCGTTTCCACGGGGGCAGTGGGACGGTGGGCGGGAAGGGGGGGATCTGCAGAGAGGAGTTCAATGTCGGTACCCACACCGCGAAGAGGGCGTCCGCACGAGCGCGCAAGAGTGAGGGAGCGGGTTCTGTCTGTTTTGTTTCGATCACACGCTGTCCCATCTGTTGCGACGCATGTACAGGGCTCCGCCAATCGCTTTCGAAGAGATGGCCATCAGTGTACGAGCCCCCCCNCCCCCCCCCCCCCCGAATGACTTGGTTGGGCCAATTTTGTTCACTGGTCGGGAGGGAGCTCGTGGTACATGCATGCTGACTGAATCGATGAGAACTGGATTGTTGGTGCGTAGTTCGACAGACGTTGTTTTGTTCGTTTCTCTTCTCGTCGACAATTTTGATTTATGAATCAGCTTGGTAAAATGCCACCCACACCGTCACCGATTCCCTTATGATTGTACTCTTTTTCCCCTCGTTTTCGACCCCCCCCCCCCCC